AAAGGAAGAAGCCCTCTATGCACTTCGGTTTGTCTCCTTTCTCTCTTTTTATCTGTCTCCTTTTATCTGTCTCTGTTTATCTGTCTCCCTTTTTCTGTCTCTGTTTGTCTGTCTCCTTTTATCTGTCTCTGTTTATCTGTCTGCTTTTATCTGTCTCCTTTCATCTGTCTCCTTTTATCTGTCTCCTCCGGTCTTTCTTTGTCTCTTTGATCTGTCTGCTTTTATCTGTCTCCTTTTGCCTATCTCCTTGCAATCTGTCTCTCTTTATCTGTCTCTCTTTGTTTGTCTCTTTTTATCTGTCTCTTTTTATCTGTCCCCTTTCATCTGTCTCCTCTTGTCTCTCTTCGTCTCTTTGATATGTCTCTTTGATATGTCTCCTTTTATCTGTCTCCTTTTGTCTCTTTGTCTGTCTCCTTTTATCTGTCTCTGTTTATCTGTCTCTTTTCATCTGTCTCCTTTTATCTGTCTCCTCCTGTCTCTCTTTGTCTCTTTGATCTGTCTCTCTTTATCTGTCTCTGTTTATCTGTCTCCTTTCATCTGTCTCCTTTTATCTGTCTCCTTTTATCTGTCTGCAGGGAGGAGTTGCTGGAGGAGCAGTGCGCTCGGAAGCGGTTAGAATGCGGTGTCTTCGCAGCAGCAAATCAAAAATATTTAAATACCGAAGGGCGAAACGCCCTGCTGCTGGCGGAGACACAAAAAATGCAGCAAACTGCAGACGTTCTCAAGGCTAGGCTTGCTGCAGTCCGTATTATATATATATATAGTTGTATATGCAGCTAGCTAGCTAGCTGGGTAGACAGCTAGCTTGCTAACTTCTGTCTAGCCAGCTAGATAGCTATCTGAGTGGCTACACGGCTAGCTAGCTAGACAGCTAGCTAGCTAGACAGCCAGCTAGCTAGACAGCTAGCTAGCTAGACAGCCAGCTAGCTAGACAGCTAGCTAGCTAGGTAGGTAGGTAGCTAGCTATGGAACTAGCTAGCTGTCTGGATAGCTATATGGGTAGCTAGGTGGGCAGCTACCTACCTGACTAGTTGGACTGACTAGCTAGCTAGCTAGCTAGCTAGCCAGTCAGATAGATAGCTAGCAAGATATAAGTCTGCAGCAGACGTTAAGGGGAGACAACCAGCTAAGTAGCTGGTGGCTAGCTGCTGCTGCGGCTGCTGCAGCATGTAACCAGCACATAGGGTTTACGGTTTAGGGTTTAGGGTTTAGGGTTTAGGGTGTTTGCGTTGCAGATGGAGGAGGCGCTAGCACTAAAGGACAGGGAAATATATGAGACGAAGGCGCTGCTGCAGCAGCAGCAGCAACAGCAACAGCAGCACCAGATGCAGCAGCACTCTGCTGCTTTCGCGTTGCATGCAGCTGCTCAACGTGCTGAGGAGGCAGACAGAGCCGCAGCGGCTCGGTGCGGCAAACCCTAAACCCTAAACCCTAAACCCTAAACCCTATCCCCTTGGGGGCAGCCGTGTTAGTCTCTGTTTGTCGCTGGCGTTCTCTCATTTGTCTCCAAGCAAAAGGTCCAGGGGTTTAGGGTTTAGGGTTTAGGGTTTAGGGTTTGTTTGGGGGTATCAGGGTGGAAGCCTTACAACAAGAGATTCAAAGACTGAAGGAGATGAGCGCTGAAGCAGCAGTGGCTGCGGTGGGCCTGCTGCTGCTGCTGTTGCTTTTGCTGCAGCTGTTGCTCGTGTTGCTGCTGCTGCTGCTTTTGCTGCATCTGTTGCTTGTGTTGCTGCTGCTGCTGCAGTTGTTTGCTTGCAGCATTGTTGCTGCTGTTGCTGCTGCTGCAGTTTCTGTAGTTATTGCGTTGCTGTTTGTTGCTGCCTCCGCGCGTGCGACAGCAACAACAGCAGCAGCAGCAGCAGCAACAGCAGCAGCTATTGTGCTGCTGGTTTGTTGCTGCTGCAGCATGCAGAGACAGTCAGGAGGGAGAGCGAAAGACTGAAGGCTGAGGAGGAGTTGCAGCAAAAAGTTGAGCAGGCCCAGGCAGAGGTTGCAAGGAGACAGGAGACAGTAAGGGTTTAGGGTTTAGGGTTTAGGGTTTAGGGTTTGGAGAGGGCCCACAAGGAGGAGGGGGCTTTTGGCTTAGGGATTAGCAGCAAGTTTCTTGTTAGCTGCTCTTTTTGTTGCTGCTCTAACTTCTGCTGCTGCTGCTGCTGCTGCTGCTGGGGTGTACATGCAGGTGCTGCAGCTGCAGCGAGCCCTCAGGGCCCGGGAGTTGGAGACAGAAGATCTGCGGCAGCAAATTCTTCACTTAGAGTCGCGTATGCATGCAAATGACAAGGTGCGCTGCTGCTGCTTCTGCTGCTGCTGCTGCTGCACTTGCTGCTGCTTCTGCTGCTGCTGCTGTTGTTGCTGCTGCTGCTGAGGTGAGCTCTGGGGGCTTTTGTTGCAGTATCAAAGACTTTCTTCTAGCGTTGGTTTTTTGCTGCTGCTGCTGTTGCTGCTGCTGCTGCAGTCAGCTCAGGTGGACGTGCTGCGGCGGGGTTATGAGGAGGTGCGGCAGCAGCTGCAGCAGCAAACTGAGAAGGTAGAGGCGCTGCAGCAAGACTCTCTGCTGCTGGAGAAGGTGGGCCCTTTTGCTGCTTTTTGTCTCCTGTTGCAGCAGCAGTTGCTGCTGCTGCAGCTGCTGCTGCTGTACGTGCTACTGCTACACCTGCTGCTGCTGCAGCTGCTCCTGCAACAGCTGCAGCACGTAGCTCTCCTGCTGCTTGCTTATGTCTGCTGCAATTGCTGCGGCTGCTGCTGCTGCTGCTGCCTGCAGGCCCGTGCTGAAGCGATTGATTTGCAGATGTTGGTGCA